TAATGAGACATTGCATACCCCCAAAATAGTTAAACAGTGAATTATGACAATCATATGGAGAAACACAAAATCTAATTTATTGCCACTAGGAGTATGACTTAACATTTTGAAGAGCAAATACACAAGATCTGGTGAAGTGAATCCCATAATTCCACTTACAGGTATATACTCAAAGAAAGGATGAAGGAAAAAACAGTCTATGTCACCATCTAGTGGCCTCAGAATAATAACAGAAATACGATTCCTTCAGCAGTGTTTACAAAGGACTCCTGAAAGTATCACACAGTAACAACTTCTAAACTTGCAGAGTTTATATACGCAGTAAATGCCCTCCCCACACTTCTGGGCCAGCACTTGACTCCACCTATCCTGCTTTTTTCTACAGATTTGCATGAATCTAACCTTGTGACAAAACTACACAGAAACATCTTCAGGCAGAGTGTTTATGTCTACTCTATGTAATTTTCAACTTTCTTCAAATGGTATCTATTGTTATGTGAGGTTTAAAGAATGCTTCTTCAAACTAACCAGACTAAATCGTATTGACAAGAATATGGTGCAAAAGGAGCCCTCCTACACTTCTCTTAGGGTACAAATTTGGAAAGTTAGTAAAGATGAATATATAGCCCCAAATCAAACAAAGCAAAAGAAATCAATAATTTTTAAACTATTAAACAAAAAAAATTACAAAAAAGATGAGTATGTGTATAGACTATGACACAGAAATTCCTCTTCTCGGTTTATTCTCTAGCAGGGTTCTTAACCCCAAAGGACATCTATGAATCTAAAATAGTCAAACTCCTAGAAGCAGAGAATAGAACAATGATTGCCAGAGGCTGGGGGGAGGAGTAAATGGAAAGTCGTTATTCAGTATAAAGTTTCAGATATTCAGCATGGATAAGTTCCTGAGATCTGCTGTAAATTGTAGAGTTAACAATACTGTATTTTACACTTAAGTTTTTAAGAGGGGTTATACCTCGCGTTAGATTTTTTTACCACAATAATTCAAAAAACAAACAAACAAACAAAACCACCTTCCCGAAGTGGCCAAAGCATCTAGAAAATGAATGGGGCAATCAACATTTGTAAGAAGGAATGGTACTGGGTGAGTTTCTCTGTTAGTGGTTTTACAATAAGGAAGGTTTTACAAAGTCACCACCACTACAGGGTGATTAAAATTCAGATGGAAAACTTCAAACTTACTAACTTGAAGAGACAGAGGACAGAGTTCAGGAAGATCACAGCAACTGAAAATCTAGAAGAGAAAACCACAGGAAAGATACAGCCAGAGAGTGCGAGCTTCAGATTTCTATGTAAATTCTGCCCAAATACGGGCTGATCCCTAAATTACACATAAGCAAAATTAAGGCTAAAACACCTGAACAGAAATTGCAGTTGCTGCCCACCTCAGAGAAGACAAGTTTGAAATCTGAGTCCTGTCAAGTTACTGCCTGCTAAAGCAAAGCACCAATACTTGTGGAAAATTCCATCTCCAGAAGTAGTCACAGAAATGTTTTTATTTCAACAGACTCTTCTGGAGTCTTGCTAGTCTCCCGCTCAAGAGATAGAATCTTTTTCAACTTTGTGCATCCCCACAACACTGGGTGAACACATCTGGCATCAAAATTTAGCAAAGGATCTGGCACATATTTGTATCTTAAAATATAAATAGAACTGTATTCCTCTAATTAAGGCCTACACGGCTCTGGAGTGCTGGAAGAATGTAAGTGTGGATGAAACTAAAACACTAAGATATGGAAGTACACAGCAGGGTCAGGGGCCAGAAAGTTGATGGAAGGTAAGTGGGGTGAGAGGGCACAGTTGGGGAAGCAATGGCAGGAAGGTGTTGCGCATTCCTTTAGGCTTTGTGACCGTCCACAGCTTTGGTTATCACACTCTTATATCCGCTTCACCCCAAAAAGAAAATGTGCATCATACTGATCTTCCATTCTACAAAATGGGCTTTATGATACATTCTGACAATGGGAATTGGCTTTTACTCACAAGGAATAAAATGAAAGGAATCTCTGAACTTAGTTATCCAATCTTGTCATTAAAAAGCGAAAAAAAAAAGTGAAAGTTGCTCAGAATCCAGCAAACTGTTTCATTTCTACTTCTTATATATCTTTTCCTATTTTCATTTAAAGATATTATGAAATTCATTAAAATTACCTGATAAAATGATATGGGAAAATATATACACTATATTGTTAATTATAAAAGCAGGGCGTAATCAAGAGAGACAGTACGCTCTCAGGTGTGTAAACACAGTATATGAGTAGATATTTATCAGAATATTAGTATTTACTCTATAATTATGAATGACTTTCATTTCTTCCTTCAGATTTTCCTGAACTTCTCAAATTATCTATACTGTGTGTATTATTTGTATAATCAAGGAAGTAATAACTCAGAGGAGGAGGAAAATTAGTAATTTAGGTACAATCAGTTCTTTGAGACATCATCCCTAATGTACCTAAAAGTTACTGCCTTTTATATTATTTAAAGATTCAACTTTAAATCACTTCTGGGATTACAGAGTCTCTTAGAAGAAAACAAAGGAGAACTTAAATTGGCTATCAGAACCACTGTGGGGCCCTCTGGAAATATTTAGGGCTCAGAGGTGGGAAAGTACTTCATGTGACACAATAATTTAAATCACACACAAATTTATAACATGACGTTCTGTTGGCCAGAAGTTTTATTTTTTTCTTCTCCTCTGCCACTACTAATAGTTGTCTGTGACTGTGGGATACTTGACTGCAGGTCCCAGAGCAATGCTATAACTCTAGAAGGAAAACTAAGAAGTCATTCATTGAGGAGAAACAGCAACTGTCACAAGAAGTTAGTGGAACTCTCATGAAAAAGACAGGAAAATGTTTTCCTTGTTTTGAAAACTAAAATCCCAGGGAGCCATGCTATATGTTATAAATGGAGAAGATGAGGATCCTATACTGAATATTCAACAAGGAACATTAGGACGAAGTTGAGAAGAGGTAGTTCCAGAAAGGAACTGGGAATTATGAATAATTTATTTTATTTTAAAAAGTGCTGAATAGGACAATGAAAAAACTAAGGAATTACTGGGTGAAGAAGATACCATGAATATACATTAACATCATTTTAAATAAGTCACTTTCTCTTATCATGGAAAATAAAAGAACAGCAGCCTAGCAGTACAAGTTAAACTAACCTGTATTGTGCACACAATCTATGCCAAGAACTTTCAGGTATGTTATAACAATCCTTAAAAAAAAAAAACTAGAAATAAGTACCATTACCCCCATTTTAAATGACACATCATGCTGAGAGATAGTAAGTGTTTTGCCCAAAGTTTGTACAGTCAATATGCCAAGGAACCAAGATTGAAGCTTAGGTCCTCCAAGCCAAGTGTTTTCCAATAAGACATAGTGCTTCTCTTTATCAGCAGTTAAAGGGACAATGGAGTAAGAGGACTAGGGCACAGAAGGCTTTCAGAGACTTGGGACTATTGCTCTCTAGCACAACCCTAGAGATGGTCAGACCACGAAGAACATAAGCTGGGTGAATCAATCCCAGCAGTGAGCCTAGCTCACTGAAGCTGCCAGCAACAAGGAAGTGTTCTTGGTTTCCACACAGAAATGTGAATGAGATAACCCAAGAAAATTCCCAAAACCACATAGGAAAACTAGAAGAGGCTTTATTTTAACTAGAGCACAATTATTCATTATTAGCAACTTTGGGTTTCAGAAATTTGGACAAGAACTGGAGATCTAGTATCAGCGATGTCTCACAGCATGAAGATGATGTTGTTTCATAAAAATGAAGACAAACTAGCTGAAGTGGTAGATAGGATGCAATTACTTAGTGCATTTGATTTCCTTCTGAGGGGAGTGAGACACAGTCTGTTTCAAGAGGTTCCCTGGGTTAAAATCAGGGAGTCTGGGTGACTACATGTGCTTTACAAACTACTACTCTCTCTTCTATTGGTAAACCCAGGGAGAAGGCTGAATGTTTCAAAATCCAAGTTCTCAAGCAGAGTTTGCTTCTCTTCTATAGGTGATATCCAAAGATGGACATCAATCTAAAGTCTGACCATTTGGAGGGAGATGGACAAAAGACAGAGAGCCAAGAAACTGAAATTTTACCTCTTTTAGGCAGAAATAAAGAAGCCAAGGTAACAGTAATTACTAATATCCCCCTCACTCCTCACCATGGATACCTCCTCTTCCTTATCTTTTTCCTGTAATATAGTTGGAAGCCTCACCTGGGGCCTTTTTTGAACAGAAAGAAAAAGAACCATTCTTCCTTCATCTTTGTATGTATATGTAAATACACATTTAATATTACTATAATTTACATCATACATATAATTATACATCATATATATATACATATATGTGTGTGTATATATATATGCACATACACACACACACACACACACACACACACACACACATATATATAATACACAACACGTTGGAACCATCTACTGTTTGGGGTACCTAATAGAGTCTATCTAATTTAATTCTAATGACAACTTGATAAACAATTATTGCTTCTTCCCAGTTTACCATGAGCTATCTGAGACTCAGAAAAATTGAACAACTTACCAAACTTATATCCAGGTTAAATGATATGGTGCTAGATGTATTTAATCTTTTTTAAATAGAGGCTATCTTCATTAGAAAATAGCTTAAATTTAAATTTTCCATTAATAAAGACATCTTTATATATCTACATTTGAAGGTAGCGTGTCGTAAATCTTATTTGGTACTTCCCAGTAGAACTCTTGGAGTGTCAGTAGCCTTGACTGTGCTGCTGTGTAGTCCTAAGACATTCTGGATTTCTCAAAGCAGTACTTTCATCATCAAATAAAATTAATATCATATTTCTGCGCTTTCTGATTCCTAGGAGTGTTCCAAGAGTCAAGACAATACTGGAAGTGAAGGCATACTGAAAATCTACATCATAAATTTGTTTCCCTGAATCATATCTTTTTCTGAACCCTGAAGGGATTCATGGAGATGGGGAATTACTCAGCTGTGACCGAATTTTTTCTGGTGGGACTTTCCCAATACCCAGAACTGCAGTTTTGTCTGTTCGTGCTCTGCCTCATCATGTACATGATAATCCTCCTGGGAAATAGCCTCCTAATTATCATCAGCATTTTGGATTCTCGCCTCCACACCCCCATGTACTTCTTCCTTGGGAATCTCTCATTCTTGGACATCTGTTACACATCATCGTCCATTCCCTCAATGCTTGTTATGTTTGTGTCTGAGAGAAAATCCATCTCCTTCATTGGCTGTGCTCTACAGATGGTTGTCTCCCTTGGGTTGGGCTCCACTGAATGTGTCCTCCTGGCTGTGATGGCTTATGATCGGTATGTGGCCATCTGCAACCCACTAAGGTACCCCCTTATCATGAACAGGGTGCTATATGTACACATGGCTGCATGGTCTTGGATCACAGGTACTCTGAACTCCTTAGTGCAAACAGCCTTGACAATGGTCTTGCCTTTCTGTGGGAATAATGTCATAGACCATCTTACCTGTGAGATCCTGGCCCTTCTTAAACTCATCTGCTCAGATATCACCATCAATGTGCTTATCATGACAGTGGCAAGTATTGTTCTATTGATGATCCCTCTGCTGTTAATTTTCATCTCCTATGTTTTCATCCTTTCTTCCATCCTGAGAATTAATTCTGCCGAGGGGAGAAAGAAAGCCTTTTCTACCTGTTCATCCCACCTGAGTGTGGTCATCTTATTCTATGGTTCAGCCCTTTTTATGTATATGAAGCCCAAGTCAAAGGACACAAAAGCATCTGATGAGATCATTGGACTGTCTTATGGAGTGGTAACTCCAATGTTGAACCCCATCATCTACAGCCTGAGGAATAAGGAGGTGAAAGAAGCCATGAAGAAAGTCCTGAGCAGACACTTGCACCAATGGAAAAGTGAAAGGACTTGAGGTATTGATATCCTCAATGTGAGATCAGATCAGATCTTTTGCATTCAGAGATAAAGTCACAGAACCCAGTTGCAAGAAAACTTACTTCCTAGTAAGACCAAATATAGGACTCCCATTCCTGTCAATAGAGAATGTTCATGCAAATCTCTGAACACTGTCTTGTGGGCAGTTTCTAGCTGTTTGCAGCTCGGCCAGTTGGGCTCATATAGGGCATATGGCTTTTCTTCTCCTTTCTCTTCTCTCTTTCTCTCTCTTCCTTTTTTTCTTTCACTTTTCTCTTCTTTATTTCCTCCTCCTTTTTGTCCTTTCCCCTTCTCCATTTACTTTCTTCCTCCCTCTTCCTTCTGCAGGGTGTTTATGTTTTCCCAGTTTCTGGTTTTCATTTTTGTTTCAGACTGTTGTTCTAACTTTTTCTATCATTCCTCTCTGGTAATCTTGTATATCTGTGTGTTGTTTAAGCTCTAAACAGTATATTTTGCCCACAAATAATAGACATAAACCATACAAAGTTATAAAATATTGACTATATTCCCTGTGCTGTATATTACATCCTTATGACTCGTTTACTTTATAACTGGTAGTTTGTACCGCTTAATGGTTGTTGTTACCACCATGTAAGTTATCAAATAACCTATTGAAGTCATTCTGCTTGTGAAAAATACATGAAGCTGTACACGATCAAAAAACAGTAGAGAAAGAAAGAATTCAATCCACTGCCTGCCTTCCATTATGAATTTTAGACATATTGTTACAATCCTTAAAAAGTGAGATCCGTGTGATTTGTTCTTAACAAAGAAACACAGTCCAGCAACCAAAAGTACTTTTAACATCCTCTAACTTGAGTTTCTTAAAAACCCCAACATCACAGCAATACTTGTAAAAATTCCATTTGCATTAAAGCCCACAACTGCTCTCTTTCTAAGATTTCCTAAAGCCCAGTTTTCCTACCTTTTTCACCCTCTCTTTTTCCCCCATTTCACCTTTCCCTGATCACAATAGCCTCCTTCAAGTAAAATAGTTTGTCCTCCTAGGGAAAGGGGTTTGGGAAAAGACAAGTTTTAAAAGAAGTGAGAAATTAGGACCTAAGTCATGCAGAAACAGCTATTAAAATTCCCAAGTTAAAAATTTTTGTCCTACTACATTATTTGTTAGTATAAATGTTGACTCTTTTTTACATCACATTTCATAAATGTCACCTTTTCACCATTAAATCAAATCCTCCAGGAAGAAATTATTTCTTCCTCTTCCATATTTTTAATGTGCCCCTATTAAACTTCTTGTTATGTTGTATTTTATTTATTCAATGTGGTACAGTTAAAAAATAAACAAAAAACTACAGGGCTTTCACAAAGTCTAATTCTCCAGTTTACTAGGATTATAAACTTTAATCTATCAGAGTCTCCATCTATCCTGACATAAAATGTGGACTTTAGCCTCTGGCTCAGGAGGTTTTATGAGTACTGAATAGGAAAAAAATACAAAATACCTTAGTCAGTGCTTGGTTAATACCATTCAATGAATAATATACATTACATTGTCCCTACCTTTCCTCATACACATCTGTCTCTTGTGATAGACTACAGGTGCCTTGAGGGCAAGATATGAGTAGTATTTACTTATTATTTAATATTTATTCTTGGTACCTAGAAGAAAAGAGGCATTTATTACAAATGTTTGTTGAATGAATGAATGTGTGATTGTCTTTCTTATACTGCAGGTAAACAAGTTTATTTGCCATTGCCTACATAATCCTTGTGATTGCTGCCTCTGTGCTTTTGCTAATGCCATTCTATCTAAAACTGCCCTCCTTATAAACTATGAATTAGAAAAATTCAAAGTACACTTAAAAAAAGTCTCCTCTGACTTAAATCCTTTTATTATCATCCTAACAAGACTACCTTTTCTTCGACCAAGCTGAATTCCTATAGCAATCTATTTAAACTTTGGAATACTGATTATGCGAAGATATATTCTCTTTAGTCACATACACAATATATCAGTTGTTTTATTGAAAGGTCATTAGAAGCAAAACCCGTGAGTTACTTGTGTTTGTAATCACACAAATATTAACAGAGTAGGCTTCAATCAACAGATTGATACTTTGGATTCTGCTTTTTTGTATAAAGTCTATCAGTTTTTTAAATAGAATTTTCTTTTCGTAGAATATGGGCAATATGACTGTTGCATGTGATATATACAACTAGTAACAATTCTGGTTAAAATAAAATTCCTCTGTCATATATACGGTTTTGCTCATTCCAGGCATTAGTAGTTTGGCTGTAATAGATCAGAGCCCACCTAAGCCTGTTATACATACACATAATTCCTTAATTCGTTTGTTGAACTTATAACTTGACAGTGACCAAAATAAAAAGATGTTAATTCATAGAATAGTGACTCCTATATATGTATCTTCAGCCCTGAGAACTAATCGAATAGGCATTTTAAATACAACATGTCCAAAACATTAACTTTGACTTTTCCCACCCGAAACTACTTCTCCTCAAGTCTTCCCCATTTCTGGAAATGGTAGTGTCATACACATACATCCAATCCACCAGCAAATTCTATCAACTCTATCTTCAAAATTTACCCTGAATCTGACCACTTCCATTGTTACCACCCTAGTTCAAATCACCATCATCTCACCTAGGCTACCGCAGTAGCTTCCCAAATCACATCCATGATTCCACTCTGTTCTCCTACAGTCTATTATCTGCACAGCGGCCAGAATGTTGATTTTGGAAGAGTATATACTAATGTTCTAGAAGAGGTAAAAATTAATCAATGGTATTTAAAAAATCAGAACAGTGGCAGCCTATGTGGGGGAATGGTGAGAGTAAGTGTCGACTGGATCACGGCATGAAAGAACTTCGCTGAGATTATGTTTATGTTCTGTAACTTAACAGGAATTTGAGTGACACGGGTGTGCATTTGTCAAAACTATGAATATTACATAAACATTTGTGAATTTAATGTATGTAAAGTTTAAATTAAAAGAAAAACCTATAAACAATATAATTTTAATCTCTAGTTAATAATATATATGCTGAAGTATATAGAGGAAAAGGTAATGATTTCTACAGTTTACACTGAAACACATCAAAAATGACATGGATCTAATAGGGCAATAGAGAAATGAATAGACACATAGACATGAGATAAGCAAATCTAGCAAATATTAGTGGTAGAATCTAGTTGGTGAGTACTTGATGCCAATGCAAAATTCCTTCAGCTTTACATTATGTTTGAAATTTTCCATAATACAGTGTTGGGAAAAAATTATACAAAGCCTGCTGGGAATACAGATCTGAGTAAATGCTGTATCAATGAATGAGACAAGGGTAGAAATTGGATCAAAAATAGCATCATTATAAATTCTCTTAAAATTAATTAAGGAAAAAGTTCCACTACTTTAAAAGGTAAAATTTTTTAACAGGTTATTTACAATTCTTACAAGAAAGAAATTAAAAATAAATTTTAATGGTCCCTGTGAAACAATTTCCTACAATGCACTCTTGTCAGGGTTTCAGTTGCTATTCCTAGGGGATGGTACAAAGCAAGGAGAAAGAAAGGAAAGAAAAGAAATATATTAGAAGATTTACCAGAATCCTGTTCAAATGTAATAAGGTTTTACAGTATGATTTTGCTGGCACACTTGAATTTTATAATCTAAAACTTGTAAAAAATAGTTTTAAATCAATATTTTTAAAGCTGTGACAATAAAGGAAATTACTTTTTAAATTAACATATAAAAAGTAGGTAAGCATGCTTATAATTAATCCTGATATAACTGCAAAATAAGTGGTTAAAAGTAAACATGGAAGTTCATCTAAGAATATCATGATGCTTTTCACCTAGAATATTTATTGCAGATTTTTAAAAAATGAAGCACAGTCTGTTTTTAACGATGAATGATCCCATTATATTTGAATATCATAATATTACACAGTATTTATTTTTCTCAACTTCTTCAAAATTAAGGAAAGTAAAAAATAACATCAGTGAAAATAGAGGCCCAAAGTCAACAGAATAATATTTTCAAACTGTTCAAACAAAATAACTGAAAACCTAAAATTTTGTGCTAAACTATCTTTCAAGTGAAAAAACAAAATAAAGACACTTTAAGAAAAAAAATTAAGAGATTTTTCCACAAACAACCCTAGAAAGAAAGAAACTATCCCTGGATGAAAGAAATAGAATGAAAAAAATAATAATAAACAAAGAAATTGGTAAATATGTGTGTGGATCCCAACTGTCACCGTTTCAAAAAGGTGGCGGAGGAGGGAATTGTTCACAATTGAGGAACTTAAAAACAAGGTAAAAATAAAACCTTAGATACAAATAATATGGAAGATGATGGAGGGGTTAGAAATAATATTTAAGGTCCTTGGTACTGTTCAGGAGAATTGCAGAGATATTAGGTAGAGACTGTGTTAAGTTAAATAAACATCTTCAAAATTATGGCTATTGTACATGTATGTATATGTTTGTGTGTATAATTTTGTACTCAAACAGTAAAGGATGTTTTTAAATACAATAAAATGTTTATAAAACTAATGATGCATTAGGAAAGGAAGTAAGTCTCAATGACTGTCTAATAATTATCATTCAAACAACAATCTATGGCCATAATGTAACACTAGAAATCAATATTGAAAAGAAAAATATCAAAAATTCTTTTAAATGTAGAAATTCTAAAACATACTTTAAATAATTCATGCTAAAAATTGTGATGAAAATTTCAACATATTTGTAACTTAATAATAGGACTATCAAAATTGGTGGGATAAAGGAATTTTATAGTCTTAAATATACATATATTACAAAATAAGAAAGACTGAAAATGAATACACTAAGAATCCAAGTCAAAGAGTTATAAAAAGAGGAAATGGAAAAATCCAAAGACAAGTAAAGACTGACTCAGCAGTTTAAAATTTTACCAGGCCCAAACAATTTCCCTGGATAGTTGTAGGGAAACCAAGAACAGGTAACACCTGTCATATGTGAATTGTTTCTTAAAACACAAAAAAAAGGGGGGTGAGAAGATCCCCCCAATCCTTTTGTATAAGCCTGAAATAACACTGAAACAAAAATTGAACAAGGACAACATGAGAAAGGAAAAATTATGAGACAATCTCACAAAAAGAGATAGAAAATTTCTAAATAAAATACTAGTAAACAGGATCTAACAGTGTACAAAATAATAATATCTAACATCCAGGTAGGGTTTATACCAGGGATACAAGGATGTGTTAATATTAAAAAAAAAAGTTAATATACTTCACCATAGTATCAACTAAGAATAAAAGTAAATGGTGATTTCAGCAAATTTGGAAAAAGTTTTGATAAAATTCAATAGGCATTTATAATTTTTAAATAATTAGAAACTTAGCAAACTAAAAACAGAAGAAAACGTCTTTAACCTGATAAAGGGTATTGATTAAAAACTAACTAACTAACAAGTATAACTAACAAGTTCCCTTTAAAGTTCCAAACAAACTCAATATTGCACAGAAATCCTACTTAGTGAGGGGTAGGGAAGGGAAGGAGAAAGGAAAGGAGAAAAGAAAGAAGGAAAGGAAAGAGAAAAATAGAAAAGAAGGAGAGAAGAAAGGGCGGGAAGAAGAGAAGGAGAAAGGGAAGGAGAGGAGGTATGAAGATTGGAAAGGCAGAAACAAAATTGTAACTGTATACTGAAAATAAAGTTCTCTACATAGGAAGTGAGAAAAAATTTTTTAAAGGAAAATCTTAAAATTTAAATTAATAAGAGTAAAATCTAGTAAGGCTGTTTAATACATGATCAATACACAAAATTCAATAGTATTTTGTGCAGCAGTAACAACTGGTTAGCAAATGTACTTTTAAAACCATTTTACAACACCAGTTAAAGTATAAAGTGCTCACAATAAATCAATAAAAGCTGTATAAGGAATTTTTGAAGAAAAGTATAAATCTTCATTAAAACACAAAAAAGGAAAACTCCCACACATTAGGGAGCTTCATTTGATTTATGTTAAGAAATTCAAGAATAAATATGTTAATTCACCCCAATTTTCTGTATAAAGTAAGTGTAATTTCAATCAAAGCAGAATTGGGATTTTTTTTAATTTCTGAAGTTTACCCCAAAATTGAATAGTAAAGACCAAGAATAGCCCAAAATGATGTTAGAATAAGAACTGTAAATTTCCTATACCAAATATCAAGATGGACAATAAAGCTACAGTAATTCAGATAGCATAGTATTGATACAGGTAAAGATAAATATGGCAAAGAAACGGAGTAGAGAATTCACATATAGGCTCGCCATATGTGGAAGTTTATATCCTAAATAAAATGTTAATAAATGTCAAATAAATTCATATTATATATAACATTGAGCTACTCATAAATCTTTCCTGCTACTTATTCTAAGAAGACTAGCAGCCAAGAGGTGGATACAGAAATATCAAGATCTTGATAAGCTTAAGAAGAGGCATCCAGTCTTTTTCCTTCCTCAGAACATTTAATTCAATACTCAACACATAACAGGTGCTTAATACTTATTCACTGACATGAGTAGGATACTTGTTAAAAAACATTGAATTTGTTATTTTATTACTATTTATTTATATTAATAATAATAAAGCAACTCAAAATTTTTGAAAGTCATTCATCTTTACTGAAGCTTTTCTCTTCAATACATAATACCATATGACAATTTAAAATAGCTCCACTCTAAATACCTATAGCTTAAGTTACAGGAACTCAAAAATAACAACAAAAACAGCACACACTATTCAAGATCTAATGAAGGAAACTAGTTTATACCACCATCTAGTGGCCACAGAATATAGCACAAAGAAAGTACTTACCCAGGGATGTCACCCAAGTACCAGCATCTAGAGTTTACACGTAGAGCTACTGCCCTCCTACTCAGCTGGGCCAGAGTTGGATCCATCTCTCCCGCTTGCTTCTGCACATTTGATGAGTCTGACCTTTGGACATAACCAAGTAGAGACACCGTTAAGGGGACTGTTGCCTCTGCCCACCTCATATAATTTCCTCCACCCTTTAATTGACACCTATTTGTTATGTGGGGTGTAAAATGCACTGTCACATTCATTCGACCAGACAGGCAATAATCAAAAATTGTTCAGAAAAGTCTCATATACTGTTATTAATGATATAAATTTATAAAACAGTTTGGTACTATTTAGTAAAGATAAGTAAGTACATATCTTACAACATAACAATTCCACACCTAGGTATGTACTCAACAGCAGTGGTTCATAATCTCACAACTGGAGGTTACACTCTATGGCGAGGGTCCATGGGTAAAATTCAGAAGGTCTGGTAACTTGGATGTAAATTACATTTTTAATTAATGCCACCAATTCCTAGCTTAAAATAAGCATTTCCTTTGATTATAAAGGTAGGCAACAAATCACAATATTATTAGCAAGACCAGGAACTTTGTGACCAATAAAATCACAGATATTGTCAAATTCCATTAACAGATAAAACTGTATGCTTATTAGTAATTTAAAGTTAAATCTCTAATTCAAAAAGATACATGCATCCCAATGTTCATAGTAGCACTATTTACAATAGCCAAGACATGGAAGCAACCTAAATGTCCATTGACACATGACTGGATAAAGAAGATGTGGTAGATATACACAACGGAATACTATTCAGTCATTAAAAAAAGAATTAAATAATGACATTTGCAGCAACATGGATGGACCTGGAGATCATCATACCAAGTGAAGTAAGCAAGAAAGAGAAAGAAAAATACCATGATATCACTTATATGTGGAATCTTAAAAAAAAAAAAGAGGGAGACAAATGAACATATTTACAAAACAGAAATAGACTCACAGACATAGAAAACAAACTTGTTACTGGGGAGAATGGAGCGGGGTGTGGAGGGATAAATTGGGAGTTCAGGATTTGCAGATGCTATTATATATAAAATAGATAAACAAGTTTCTGCTGAATAGCACAGGAAATTATATTCAATACCTTGTAACAGCCTATAATGAAAAAGAATTTGAAAGGAATATATATGTATAACTGAATCACTATGCTATACACCAAGAATTAATACAATATTGTAAACTGACTATATACTTCAATAAAAAATCTATATCTCATATCCACTAATAGATCTTATTATTTAGTGCCCTAATAAAGAAGCACATCTATTGCCTTTTGAAGAATTTGTTTTTGTATTGTTCCAGTTTTTTGAGATCTAATTGACATATCGTGTAAGTTTAAGGTATGCAATGTGATGACTGATATATACAGATACTGTGACATGATTACCACCATAAGGTTAGTTAACACATCCATCACTTCACATAGTTACCTTTGTGTGTGTGCTGAGAAGTTTTGAGGTCTATTCTCTTATCATATTTTAAGAAAATAATACAATTATATCTTCCTCATTCCAGTTCAATTTGTTATCTTTGCATTTTTGTAAATTTTTTTCTTTGTAACCCTACTCATTTGTTATACATTTGAAAACATTTGAAGTCTATAGACTCACAAGATTTCCAAATGGTTTCTTGACATAGAAAAGGTTTAAGATGCCTGCCTTAGAGGAATTCTTCCAATGGAACTAGAAGACATCAACAAAGAAATTCAAATGGCTTTGTCCACAGAAGTCAAATGGACAAAAAATTAAGGTATGGAATAGTAACAGCAGAGAAATGAATTAATCATTACAACTGTATTAACATGGATGATTTTCAAAGGCCTAAAATTAAAGCAAGAATTATATCATAAGATAAAAATAATCTGATTCCATTTAAAGAAATTTCTACTTCATGCAAAACAAATAATATATTGCTTAGTGTTATATACAACTGCAAATTTTAAAAAATAATGTAACGATTAATACAAAGTTCAGGATCATGGTTACTTGAGGGAGATCATGGATGTATACTGGAGGGAGGAGAACAAGAAGGAACATGTACTGAGCTAAACTGCTGGCAATATTTTACTTCTTAAGCTTGGCAGGCGCACAGGTGTCCATTACTTTCTTCAAAGTGTACAGATACATTGAACATACCTTTGTAGCTAATATAAATGCTTCATGTTACCTCCTTACAGGCCATCTCTGTCCATCCAATCTAAATAGCTATCCAGTTACTCTATATCACAGGTATTTTAATAATCCAGGGGTTTTTTTAGTATAATTTTTCTAGCTTTAGACTACCTGTTTTTTGGACTACTTGTTAGAAGTTTAGGATATACAACAATAATTTTCAAAATGTTTATCCTATGTGTTTTCCAGGTATTTCAGAGACATGTAAAAAACAAGTAGGCACAGGAAAACATTCCATTTTAAATACTATTTAGAGGCGATTTTCCATCTCAAGTCTAAAATTACCTTAGAGGTCACAAATCTTTTAAATACAGATGGTAAACTGAAATTATTCTACAATCTTGCCTTTAAACTCTGGCTTGGCCACTTAGCAGCAGTGAACCAGAGGAAATTATTTAAACTCACTTTTCACTTATAAAATGGAGATAAAGCTTTTTCACTTATAAAATGGAGATAAAGCTTAACTTATAGCAGGATAACTAAAACCTGTGAGAAACTGAATAGGAGACTGTCTTAGGCACCTAACAGTATTTAACAATGTTTACCTATCTCTAAGTTATAGCCATAAATTTTACTCCTATCTTATAAGCATTCTCCTTTCGGATATATTCTTGCAATTTCCCTCTATCTTTCTCCTGGCTTGATGCAATTCAGGATAAGGCTCTAGGAGATGGCAAGGCCACAATGTGGAGGAAGTTTATGTCCTTCTATGTATAAAAGAGCTGCCTGCCCACCAGGAACATCCATTTTGTTTTCTCATAAAAAATAAAATCCATTAGAGTTTAAGTCATAATACACTTTTGGTGTCAATTTGTAACAGCAAATTAGCCTATACTAATTCATGTATTCTTGAAAGATACTACCAAATATTGAGATCTCTGGCCTCCTTCTCTCTTCAGCCTCAGGAACTTGGCAACAAAAATTACACTTCACAAATGGGACACCAGAAGTTTCCTTACAGGGGAAACTGACTAGACAAGAGAAGTAATTTATAGATAACAGTTGAGGTGAGGGAGGTCTACTCAAGGAAACTGTCCAGTCAGATCACCCTACAGTAATGCCCATTACCTGGCAGACCCATACTCATAGAGTTCTCAAACTTTTTTTACTGTCCCACTTGAAAATACAAGCTGATAGACAAGGGTCACAAATATGAAAACATTTCAGAAAAAACTCTGGTACCAAAGACAGAAGAAAATAATCAAATAGAAAACAAAATAAAACTCAAATGAAGACTTCAATCATCAACTTTTAAAAAGAAAACATCTGTAATTAGTGTCCTGAGACAGACAGAAATATTGAACCCATGAAACAAAAAGAGGATAATATTTCTGAAGACAGTGGGGGAAGAAAACATTCTGGAAAAGGGGGTAAAAGGAGCTCTCGGAAATACATACTGGAGGTCAGAAGTTTAAAATTTTACTAGACGAGTTAGAAAATAAAATTGGAACATTTCATCCCCTCTCCATAAGCAAAAAAAAAAAATTTAATAGGGGGAAAAAAAGAAAATTAAAGGGTCGAGTGGGGGCAAAACATCTGAATAAGAGAAGTTCCACAGATAGAGGAGAAAGAAAAAATCCAAGAAACACAACAAATTTTTTCATAATTTAAGTGTTTCCAGATGGAGGAGGGGTCTACTGAGTGAGACACAATGGATTCCTTTTCCAAGGAATATCACTGTGAAATTTCAGAAAGTCAGGGACAATGAGAAAAGATATAAAAGCTTCTGGAAAGAAATAAGTCACATACAAAGGATCAGGAATCAGAATTGGATGAATTTCTCACAAAAAGCTATAATACAATGGAGCATTACCTTTAAAACTATGAGGAAAATTATTTCCAATGTAGAATTTTACATCCACCCAAACTATAAATTAAGAAGGTTGATAAATACGTTTTTAGAAATGCAAGTCTCACAAGTTTAACTCCTATGTACCCTCTCCTAAAATTAGGCACATAAAGATACAAGATCCTAGAAAAAGGAAGTCCAACACAAGGCAAAAGCGATTCTGTAGAAAATCAGTGAAAGGGGAGCTTAGAACTAATACAAGGCCATCTCAGGGACCACTTAATCCACACTGGACCAAGAGAACAAAAGACTCCTGAAATATAACTCTAGAAGATGAAAGTGATAACCTGATTAAAAAGTTAATCATTTTGGGTTTTGGCAAATAATCTGGGGATTAATGAGTGATGGTATAAGGAAAAAAAGGGAAGCAAATGAAAAAGAGAAATAAAAGAAATGTCACCCTTCTGTTGATTAAGATCATAGGTTTAATCTATATGGCAGTGGCTTGAACTAGAAAGTGACTTCTCATGTAAGACAGAAGTCCAGAGACAGGCAGTCCAGGGCTCTTGGCATGGTGGTCCACAGTGTCAGAACCTAGGCTGCTTCTCCCTTGTTGTTCTGCCACTTTCAGCAGGAGGCTTCCACCTTATAGTCCAAGAACTCAAGCCACATCCAGATTCCAGCAAGCAGAAATAAGAAAGACACAGAGGGGAAGAACCCCTCCTACACAACTTGAAGATCACTTACAGTAAATGCACTAACATATCCCACTGGCCAGGACTTAGTCACATGGCTGAAGCTAGACGCATGGGTTCTCTTAGCATTTTTTAAGAGGGGGTGGGAAAGAATGGCTACTGGGAAATAGAAGTCTCTGCTACCTTCCTCCAGCACATTCTAGTCTCCATATTCTACTTTGTTTTACCTCATAGTAATTATTTAACCCTGATAGTTTTTTCCTTCATTTATGTTTCCCCTAACCTGGAAGTTCCAAGAGGACACAGACTTTGTCTTTTGTTCACCTCTGTGCCCTAGTTTTTGGAAAAGTGTCTGAAGAATAGAGGGAATTTAATTAATACAAGTTAAATGAAGGAATGAACTGTCAATTCCAGGGAGGAAAGTCTAAGAAAATAAATTTAAACATAAAGATCCCTTCTAGGCACAGATAATGCCTTGTCTTCATTAGCCAGAAATGGATGCCTGTTGTCGGGAAAAACTGAATCACCCTCTCTGGAATAAGTAACTTTAAAAAGCCTCCTTTCCTCTGAAGAGATGATTGAAGTCATTACACAATGCACAGCGAAATCCCTAGTCTTAATAATGTAAGCAATGTTACATTAATGTTTGCAATAATGTAGCTATTAGAAAGAATAATGTAAACATTAATATGATGTAGGTAATGTAAATTAATAAAGTAATCAATTAACTGAATTTTTTGTGTAAACATTAGACGTGAGAAGGGAAATTATCTGGGGGGAATGGTATATTAGAGACTTAAATCTTCCTTTTCCATAGAGAGTCAACAGATATTATCTAAACCAAAAACAGAAGAAGAAGAAGAAGAAATAGCAGAATATGCTTATTATTTGAAAATACAGACACAAACGTTGGAAGAAACAGCTCGAAACGTTTAAAGTGGTTATTCCGGTAAGCAAGGATCAGAATTTTTGCTTTTAAGGCTTATAGAATTTTAAGTTTTAACAACATATGTTCATCTTTGAATTTTTCATATGTAGCTCAATGTCCCCATTCCTCTGAGCTCCTGGAAAATACAATGTTAATGATAAGGAGCCTTACAAATTGATGTTGGGGGCAGTGATGACGGAGAATGCGCTTAGAACAGAAAAGTGAAGGCTCCCTGGTCTTCAGCTATATGTACATCACAACGAATAAAACCTAACGGAAAACACGTCCACAGTTTAAATTCCAAGCATGACACGCGCAGATCCCTACTGCCTTCCCAGTGGTCCCCCACACTCGCTTTCTACACACGAACATGTACGAATTGTACGCCAAGTGCGCGTGGAGACGAGGGGATGGGCCCAGAGGCTGGCCAGGAACGGCCTCAGCCACTTCTAATGTGACTTCTGACGATGGGGTAAGAACGTTTGGGGAAACAAAGGGATTGGAAAGGTCAGAGCTGACACCAGACACGTCGCCTCGAGAACTGGGCGGTGAGGCCGCGCCTCCGCGCCGGAGGCGGAGCCCAGTCCCGCCCCGAGCTTGCGTCTACCCCTGGTGTAGGCGCTGCTCCCTGCCAGTGGGGAAGCCACAGGAGGAGGAATTTAAGAAAGAATACCCGCCGTCTGCCCTCCTCAGCGCCCGGAGCCGCGCCATGCTAGCCCTCCGAAGCAGCCTGACTAGAGCTGTGGCCGCGCGGACGCCGGCGCCTCAGGTACGGACCGCAGGGACGCGCCCGACGTCTCCCCTGGGGGAGGGGTTTGCGAGAGGCTTCTGCGGGAGCGCGCGGGCCGCGCATGCGCCTACCTGCTCGCCCCCCCCCCCCCCCCCCCCCGCCAGCGTGGTGCTGCCCGCAGAACTTCTAGTGCGAGTCCCGGAATCCGGAGACGGGGTACCCCGGGAGCGGGAGGAGAAGGAAGGGTGCCGCTAGGGGAAGACCCGCTGCTTGGGTCGCCTCCAGTCGGCTCGTGAACAGCCATGAACGGGGGCCTTTTCTGGCCTAAGTGTCCGGCGGCCCTGAGGACACCCCTAAAGCGCCCGCTGCTGCGTTTTTGCCGCCCAGCGCGGTTGCTGTTGCCGCATTGGGGCCCATGCCAGGCGCTGGTCTGGCCTGTTTTATTGATTTGTCTTTTGACAAGCTACCGGCTGCTCCCGACTGAAGGGAGAAGGAGCAAAACGTCAACCAGATACTGGCTGGCAACAGAACCGGCCTCCCCTTTTTAAACGAAATACGCAACCTCCCAGCATTTTACAGAGAACAACCTTAAAGAGGGGACCCAGGGTGCGGGTGGAGGAGCATCCTGCCCAGCAGCTACTGTCTCGTGAAGCTGGTGCCCAAGTCAGGCAGGGTCCAGAACCTCGCAGCCAATATGATGATAACAACTTCATTTAAAGTTAGATGAGAAATGTACAAAACAGATTTTTGTGATTCAGCCCTAACTGTCAGGAATTGGCCTATTCTGTGAATCCAACCTAGAGATTTTACTGTTTGCTATTTAGGCTTTTACTCCTTTCTCAAAGGACAGGGTAAGAAGGGGATTAATCTACTCTAGAGACTGACTATCTGGAAAACACTAAAGAAGAACCATCAATGGTCCCTTCACTCAAAATTAGCAAGGCAGTCTTTACCCTGATTCTCTCTACTGGGGCAGGGGCAGGAATTATACCTTAAATTTTTATTCTGAACTTTGAAGTTTTTAAGTATCAACCAGATGATCTCTTACAAGTGAACTGTAAGTCACTGCTGTGGAGAATGAGCCCTAATTTGGACACAAGAGAGCCTGAAGCACTCATGATTCCTCCCCCAGCCTCGTTCTGGTGGCTCTGCAACAAAAATCACTTCACATCCTCTCACAAACAGACACACCCCTTGCTGTTAACCTTTACCTGAGCTTTTCTATTGTATGTTTCTTCTGCCAACGATTATGAAATGTGTGTCTTTGATCACATATTTTGATCTCCAATTACAAATTCCCCTAAAAACAACTTAAGCAATTGTTACAAGTGCCCCATTGGACCATATATTTATATTTTATGTATAATATTTTAAAACTATATATGCTATTTATAATTTATTTGTGTAACATTCTGTTAATAACGTTTGTTAAAACGGCATATAAAGAATGTCTGCCAGATGCAGGGACAGCTGCAATTGTTTTTGATGGCAAGCATAGCTGGGCAATGAGAATATAACTCATCATAGACATGAAATGACCTCAAGATAGAGGATTATAATTAAGCCTTCTACACAATTAAGTAAAAATATATACTTTAAAGTGTATGTATGTGTGTATATATATATATATATAAGTATATAAACTAAAAATATATACTATTGTGTTTTGTAAACAAAATACATGTCAGAACAAGAAGCCTACTGCTTTCCTTTGAAGCTTTTTCTCCTCCCTTCAGGTAGTCAGTATAAGACCAAAATTCATCAATAGCTTATATAAGTACCAAAACTGTTTTAATACATAATTCTGGTGTAATCAGCTTCAGGAAAGGTGCACATGCTAACCAAGTGTATGCATGATGGATATGTAAACTAGAATGCCATATGAATGTATGTGTATATGTATGTGTGTATATACATATATATAATATGTGTATACATAAACATAGACAAAGGATAATATATGGCAAAGCATTTCTTACTGAAAGTTAAGTTCACTCAGAGAACCAAATTAGAAACTTACATTGTGAGCATATGACTATTACAAAAGGAACTAGTAGTTCTTAAGGGGTACTTCCTTCAACCTGCTATAATTGCATAGATTAAATGCCCTTCTTCAGATTGCATCTATAATTAAAACCTAATAATTATTCAGACAATTCTGACTTACTGATTTTTCATTTTTCTAGCATTTACACAGTCTGTCGTCATATTACAATGCAATTGGATAGACAATAGTTTCCTATTACATTAATTACACTCCTAATCTATTTTTGACCAGTGATTTCCTTCAATGGATTTAGGAAATACTTTGATCTGACTAGCAATTTCCATTGTTTTAAGATCCTAAAAAAAAAAAAAAAGAGTTGTCTGCTAGTAAACACATTTCAATTGTGCCTGCCAAAATACCTGTGTATTATAAAATTGCTTTAAATGCTTAACTCTAACACATACACTATTGACTAAAGACAGAACATTGGCTAAATAAGGGATAGTAAACTATTTGTAAAATTTATTGTGATACTAATTGTAGTCCTTGGGTAAAGAAAGTGCTCCAGTGCCTCCTTATGAGCAACTTCTCATGAAAAAGTGACTAAAGGTAGATCCCCTGCTAGGAAACAGTAGCTAAATATTTAGAATATTTAAAATTAGTTATCTTTATTGACATATCTCTAAACAAATTCTATGGAGAAAGGACAACAGAAGTGCAAACAGATCATGAGTCTGAATGTCCTTTGTTTCCAGGCTCAGATTCAGTTGTAACATATTATAAACCCTACCTTCCCAAAATATTTGATTTGCTTTATCTTTCTTTAGGTGTGCTCATCTTTTGCTACAGGCCCCAGACAATACGATGGAACATTCTATGAGTTTCGTACCTATTATCTTAAACCATCAAAGATGAAAGAGTTCCTGGAAAATGTTAAGAAAAACATTCATCTTCGGACAGCTCACTCTGAATTGGTTGGATACTGGAGTGTAGAATTTGGAGGCAGAATGAATAAAGTGTTTCATATTTGGAAGTATGGTATGATTCATGAGCTTAAGTATTCAGTACAGATCTTCATTCAGTTAGATATTACATGAGACTTGGATCTATGTTGCTATAAATACATACAGCTTAAGTAAAACTTTAAAAAAGCAATACCAAAAAATAAATTCAGTGATTACTCCTCCCAGTGGTACACCTCTAACAGCCCATTGCTGGAACCTTTATATTATCACATGAGAAGTAATACTGGGAAAATGTGGCATCTCCAATTTCAAGTCCTAAAATTGTGAACTGGACTTTAATGCTTATAAAAGTTTAGAATGGTGTATTGTAAAGATCGTTGATGAAAAATTTAAAGCTGTGATTGCAAGAACCCAGGTGGGTTAGGATCATAAAAGAAAGTAGAATTATTTTTTTCTTAATATTGAAGCTATAGCCGGTATCAATATTTTATCAGAAATCATTCAAACATCTAGGGACTTTAGGAAAACAGAAGTTAATAGTCAATTTTGAAGCCTTCATCGTTCTATAAGATTTAATAATTCTGTTATGTTTCAGGACCACTTTTGGGTTTTTTCTGCCCCCAGGATTTCAAGGAATTCACCATCATTATATTAGTCTAGGGAGGTAAAGGAAAAGAAATTGAGTGAATTCTTCCCATACCGAAGCTGACCAGCCCCTGGTTTAGTAGAAGAAGAACAGTTGCAGGAATCCCTAGAATGTTTATTCAGATCTTTGTGAAGTCACATCAGGACTTGATATTCAAAGAGCTTTTAATAACTTCATTTAGTGTTTGGTCATCAGTGTCCAAAGTTAATAGTCATCTTATACTTTAATATGAAAAGTACTCATTCTGTACTTAACGTGGCCATAGTTTAGGGGTTTTCCCTGTTATAATAGAACAAACCCCCATTAAAACACAGTTTATGCTTTAATGCAACACCAGTTGAATCATGTCCCATTAAGAAAATAAGTAGTAAGGTCCTGACATAATGTAAGCTCTAAGGTAGGTGTTATTCCTTATCCACAACATAAACCATAGAAGACTCTTACCATTAGTCTTATAAAGCCCTAATAGTAAATACAGTACTGGGTTCATATGTTTGTAACAAACAGAAGAGAAATAGTACTATGTAAAAAGAATGGGCGACAGTGAGAGAATCAGCATTATTTCTTTGGAAGCTGTTTGTTCAAAGAAGAGGCTGAAAAAGCAAATCGTAATTTCATTTGTGTTAAATTTAATTCAGTTGTACCTTGACCTTACCGCTCATCACCATCACCACCCACAAAGAAGAATAGTCTTTTTCTAAACTGACACTGTAATTTAAATGTTTCAATTAAATGAATAAGAATAGTTAATATACATTGAGTACTAAGTTGGTGCCAAACACTGTTCTGAGCTCCTTTCATGTACTAATTCATTTAATCCTCACATCAGCCCTGGAGGTAAACAAGCATAGAAAGAGTCAATAACTTACCTAAGTCTCACAACTACCTACTAACTTAGTAGGCAGTAGTAGCTTAGTAGGTCGTTGTGAGTAGAGTCTGTGACGCCCATTACTATAATATATTATCATTAGTTGTTTACATTGCTCCTCCCCTTTTAGACCATTAGCAACTTGGAGACAGATGTCACATCTATTTATGTCAGTATCTCCAGGGATATAACACAGTGTCCTTATGTGGACTCCTGAACACTTGCTAAACGGAATGAAACTCAGAAAACGTACAGGTGATTTTAAATTTAACATTTTTATTTTTCTTACTCCTTTTCTTTCCATAGACAATTTTGCTCATCGAACTGAAGTTTGGAAAGCTTTGGCCAAAGATAAGGAATGGCAGGAACAATTTCTCATTCCAAATTTGGCTCTTATTGATAAACAAGAGAGTGAAATTACTTATCTGGTGCCATGGTGCAAATTAGAAAAACCTCCAAAAGAAGGTAAGTCCTTCTTTCTTAATCACTTTGAATTTTGATGGAGAAAATACTAAAGATTTATAAAAACTAAAGCTCTACTGGAAAAAAATGAAGTTAATCTTTTGCTTAATATAGGAACATATGTTGATTGTTGAAATAAAAATAAGTTGGACCTCTTAGCTTATCCTTAAAAACATGAGCATTAAATAATGAAGTATTTTTCCAAACTGGTATCTTACTGATACTTAAAGCTTAGCTGTATTACAGAAAAAGTTGACATAGTAAAGGTCGAGAAGTTGGGCCTTGGGAGCAGGGAACACATGTGGGTAGATGAGGGATAGTGTATAATATTTTGTCATAGTTTTGAAATAATATAAACTTTTAAATATGAAAGTATTTTTCCATAAATTACTACTAATCTCAAATCACCAAGTATCAATTTGCTTATAAAAGTGACCGTTTGGGGGGAGTGAATTAACTGAAATTGCCAAGCTGTATTACTGTAGTCTAACTTTTGTGTCTTCCTCTTTCTTATTTCTCAGTTTGAAAATAATTCCTAAAGATTTGTCTTCTTCCTGATTTCACTTCTTGCTGACTTAAAGAAATTATTACCTCAATCCAGTTTTAAACAAAGGTCAGATTAGAAAAAGCATAAACTAATTTAAATTTTATTATTATCTCCCCCATTATTCCCAACTCTGTAGTGCATTTTAGATTACAGGAGATTTGAAAAGTCTTATTTAGATCCTTAATCACTCACATCCCCCACTGCTTTTAGCACCATGTAAGTGAACTAGTGGGCTTCAGAGACAATGTCAGATCTTGATTCTCTTTCTCTATGTGATTCATGATTCTTCAGTAACTTTTGCATGTTTTTCCATTATTTCTCAAATCTACTTGTCCCCTAGTTTTTTTCTCTTCACCCACCCTATATTTCTACCCAGAAGATAAAATCCTTTTCAGGTATTTACCTGGATATTTAGGAATAATGAAACCATCTTCTTTAGGGTTTGTTTTCCCTTAAAAACTCTGAGACAGTCACTTCAGGTCCATTTGCTTGCTGTTCCTGGTAGAAATGGAAACATATAGGGGGATATTACATAAAGTAAAAAGTACTGGAAGTTGGAAAGAAGAATGGAGCTATAAGAGATTGGAAAATACTTCCTTATTCATTTCTTTTATAGAAGTGTAGATGCAGACAGCTAAAAAAAATCCTATTCCATTGTAAATTCTCACTATTTTAATGAAAAATTTTACAGATTAAAAATATGTTAGATAATAGCTTACCTATAGCTTCCAGTCCCTTTTTCTTTGTTCTGTATGATAAGCTTAACAACTGACCCTTAAACTAGGACAAAGACTTTCTAAACATAAAAAAATAGACAGTACAAATTGGTAATAAATATGTCTACATGAACATGTATAGCTGTATGATCCTCCAGATCTGTACATGTAGATTAGCTTTCCACTGGAACCAAACTAGACAGGATTACAAATTGCTTGCATGTGTTCTGTAAAATAATTATTTTTCTCCCTATTCTAGGAGTCTATGAACTGGCTACTTTTCAGATGAAACCTGGTGGGCCAGCTCTGTGGGGTGACCCATTTAAAAGGGCAGTTCATACTCATATCAATCAAGGCTACACAAAATTAGTTGGAGTGTTCCATGCAGAATATGGAATACTCAACAGAGGTACGGTTGTCCATTTCTTCTATGAAACTGCAAAGTATATTGGTGATCTAGTGTTACGTTCCTTGGGTCAGTTTGTCTCTGTTCTCATTATTGAGTATATTTTACCTTTTATTGACAAATTTTTAGTTTTTTGTAATTTTAAGGGGTAAGCAAACCTATTTTACATCTCATTTATTAAGAATATTAACATCTTGTGAAGCCTTATTCAAATACTGAACTGGCTCTTTTCTCTGATACATCAAAATGATAAAATTTTTAAAACTGGAAAAAACCTGAAGAAATCACCTATTCCTTTCATTATCTTTTGTTTCCTCTGAACGTACTTTTATCAATTTTCTTCTTTTTGTCCTTTTTCTCCAGTTTTTTTAGGGTATAACTAATGTGTCACATTGTATAAGTTTAAGGTATACAACATAGTGATCTGATATATGTATATATTGCAAAATGATTACCACAGTAAGTTTAGTTAACATCCATCACCTCATATAGTTACAAATTGTTTTTCCTCATGATAGGAACTTTTAAGATTTATCTTCTTAGCAATTTATTTATCTTACATGTGGAAATTTGTACCATTTGTACCTTTTGTGGTTTTATTTTTAATAACATGACTTAGGGTAGGGAGATTGCTTCTGGGGGAAAAGGATTTAAAAGTTATTAAAAATATTAAAAGCATGGAGAAGCCCAAAGAAAAACAATTATCCATTTCTCACCACTTAGATACACATAGTATATATACCATATATATGTACATATATGTGTACATATACATAGTATATTAATTTATTTAATAAAACACTTACTTGGGATATTTAACTTTTAACGTTGAAAGATATTCCAATCAGAATTTTAGAGAGTTTTTTTGGTGGCAAATTCAAATAATGCTTGTAAAGTTTATCTAAAAGGATAAATAAAAAAGACTTTTGATATTTCAAAGACTCATAATATCTAGTTGCCTCATCTTCCCGACTTCATGTCCAAAGGACATCTCAAATGTAACATATCCAAAGCTGACCTGATGGCTGCCCACAAATTCAACTGCTAGTAATATATTCTAAGAAATTAGTTGACTGTACAAAAATAGTTGTTTGTTCAAGTTGGAAAATACATGAAGAGGAGAAAAATTATGACAATTATTAGATGCCTATCTCACACCATATGCTAAAATAAAATGAAGATGGATTATAGGTTTCAATTAAAAATTGAATTCATAGAATTACTAAAACAAAGTATAGATAAGTTTATATAATAATATGGATTAGAACAACATTTCTAAGCCAAAAGCAAATGAAGAAACTATGAATGTAAAAAAGAGTCAACTGATGATTTTATGATACAAAACTGCAAATTTTGTGTCCCCTAAAACAACATAAATGAAATCCAAAGACAAAAAGAAAAATAAAAACTTGGGCAAAGATGATACAGATGTTTTTCAATTGTTTCTTTCCAGTATTCTAGGAAATATGCATGTTCTTCATTACACAAGAAGGAAATTTGAAAGACTATAAAATTTAGAGTCATATTTGAATGAAAATATTAAAGTTTTTTTAAGTCTTTAACTTACTATAGTGGACATGTATGATTTTTATTTTAAAAAACTACTGAAAATGTGTGTGCACACGCTTTCTAATCTCAAATTCATTCTTAGTGTACTAGGAGTATGATAATACGCTGAGAATAAATCACTATTGCATTTCCAGAGGACAGTATATAATATATACACTGTATATTTGCAAGTGTATATGTATCTATAAGATATACTCTTTGGTTCTCTCAATGTAAACTTTAGGAGTTATATTAAGAAAATATTAAGATCCAGACTGCCTGGGTTTGAATCTCAAATCCACCACTTAAAACTTTGTGACCTTGGGTAAGTTACTTAACCTCATTGTGCCTTACTTTCCTCATCCATAAAATGATGATAATAATAACCTACCACCTGAGATTATTATGAAAACTAAATGAGTTAGTACATGCAAAATATAAGACGAGGCTTGAAAAAAAAGAAAAAGACCAGGCTTGGCATGCAGGAGAACCCAATGTTAGTAGCAGTTGTCATCAACATTGTCATTATTATAGCTATATATGTACTGCTGTTCTGATGAAGATTATGTCAACGTTGTTTACAGTGTGGAAACAGCATGGTGTGACTTTATGTAATACACATGTAACACAGAAATAGATATATAGATATGTGTCATATATTATGTATTTATAACCATAAACCATATATTCTTATGTGTCTATGTGCATGTAAGTGTACATACATATATAAAAATACATGTATGCATAACTATGGAAAGAGATACACCAAGTATGAAAGTGGTTATCTGAGTGGTGTAGGCATACTTTCTGTTGTCTCTTTATCTGCATTTTCCTATATAGCTATATTGTAATTATAAAATGTTTGTAAAAAATTATGCACAAGAACATTATCCCAGTATTTTATAGAATGTTGAAATACTGGAAATAATTTAATTGGTTAATAGTAAGGGGTTGGGATAAAATGTTGTATCTATAAGGAGGAATTCACATAGCTATTAAAAACTGATGTTATTGCCATAGAAACTATGCATTGTTGATTTTTTAAAATCTATGACTAAGACTAAGCATAATATACAGCAAGATCCTAATGTGATTTTACTTGTATTTTTTAAAGAAAATGCACTTAATATTGGTAGAGGTTTTCTCTAGGTGGTTTACATGCTACTTTAAATTTTTTTTCTATGTATCCCCTAAATGTGCAGTGGTAAACACAGCTTTTTTATAATCTCGCTTTTGTTAAATAAAATAACGTGTTAGGAAGTCATGAAACTTGGGTCTAGTCCTGATTGTGTCTTTAGCTGTGTTACTTAACTTCCCTTCTCCAGCTTTCTGTTTCATCATCTATAAAACCGGTTTGATTAATTAATTTATAAATTTATCTCTCAAATCTCTGACCCTTCTGCAATCGTACCACTAACATAGTTAGTTTTACCTTCTAGATACGCACTATTTTGAGCCAAAGAGTAAGGCCTAAAGTTTCTGACTAATTTTCTGTGTGTCTTATTTGTAGTAATGTCATAGCCTTTAGAGTCTATTTCTGCTTATTTCTGCAGTTCACGTTCTTTGGTGGAATGAGAGTGCAGATAGTCGTGCAGCTGGGAGACATCGGTCTCACGAGGATCCCAGAGTTGTGGCAGCTGGTGAGCTATTTCACTCGGCACAAATTATTCTCAGGACAAATTTCATTTAGTCAGTAACTTTATATGCCTTCTTATGAATTTTTTTTCAGTTCGGGAAAGTGTTAACTTCCTTGAATCTCAGCAGAATATGCTTCTGATTCCTGCATCATTTTCACCACTAAAATAGTTTTCTGCTGAAATACGAAGTATTTCATTAACTGCGAAGAGATGTGTCTGCTAGTGGTGCTTAAATTCTCCCAAGAGATTCTCATTTTTATTTGAAGGAGGTGGTAAGCTAATTTGCTGTGTCCTTTCCATTTTTAAAAGCTAGCTCTGTCCACTGTCACCAATACTTCAGGAAAGAGTCTGTTTATTTTCTCCTTGGCATCTCAGTATCTGTCATACATTAAAATCGTTGCCATTACTATAGAATCTTGATTTTCATTTGTTTCAGAATATCTCTGGTTCTCTGTTTTGACAACCCTCTGCTCTTACACCATTCTCTTAACATTCAAGTGATTATGTTACATTTCCATACCTGTGAGAATATCTTTAAATTATTTGTATACATTGTCAACCTTTTCATCATGTTTACTTTTCTGAGATTTTAAGAGTTTTTTGTCCAGTAAAGTTTATTTTATAATACCAATTGGGATTCATAAAAATATAAAGTGTATCTCTTTACTATGGAAAAGTACAATATCATCTGTGTCATCTGTGTTAATTATGACACAGTAAGAATTAATCATTTGGATAATAATCTTATTAGGTCCTGGTATTAAAAACCATTGATGATCCACTGGTTTATATGTTGCAGTGTCTTCATTTACAGTTAATTTTACTAATTTTTATTTCATTCTGGATCACTATTTAACAAAGATACTTGATCATCTATTTGTTTTAATGAGATATTTATGGTTATGGAAATGTTTGCCCTAATAACAGCCTACATACACAGTCTGATTCTTTTTATTGTGGTTTGTATTTTTATCCTCATCACTGGAGCTATTGTTGTGTTGCCATAAGGTAATGAGAAAGTAACAATGTGCTGTCTTTACTGTAAATATTAAGTAATCTTACAAGAATCTCTTCAGTACTATCACAGACATACTAGGATTTTCCTACAAACATCTGTAGTTTTTATTGTACTTGAGTGCCTCAGCCTCCTTAAACTAGGTTTGGTACTTCCAAGCTCTCCTGGTAGCCTGTACTTACAGCTGTGTTCTTTTATGTTTCTAACATTTTACAAATACAGTACAGTAAATTATGAATTAGCTGTCCATGGGAAAACTGAAAGACAGGAAGCACGATCACCTCTCATTTACCTGGTCTTCAGGAATTCAAAGGACAGACTGAGTTCCTAGGAAGGCAAAGAACACCCTGACTTGAGGTTAAAATCTATCAGATTAGATTAGAGGCATTGGCTCCGAGTTTTGATAAAGAGTCTTCCACCTCTGTTTCTTTGAAAAGTTGTCTCTTAGGGAAGGAGGTGGTGGTGGTCGTGGGTATTAACTGAAGTCAGTGTGGACAGACTTTCTCTGGTGTGAGATGAGATCTTTGCTTAATGCCATGTTTGGTGACATGACAGTGTACAATGGCCTCTGCCTTTTCCTCTTTCACTCATCTTTAGACCAGCTAGAACATTTCCTGGGGCTACCCAGGGGCTGTCTCCTCCACCCAGTCCAGAGCCCTGATGGAGATTTATAAAGCAGCAGCAGAGCGGAGTTCTTACCAACAAAATTGGAGAGCCAGTAGATGATGGGCTTCATTCTGCTGACGAACTGCAGGTCCTTCACTTTGCTGATTCTCTCCTGGATCAGAAACACGACAAAGCTGGCTGGGACGAAGGACACTGCAAAGATGACCCAGATGGACATGAGGATTTGCACTTGACATGCTCTCCCTAGGAAGAGAAAATAAGGATCTGAGGGGTCATGGATGCAATTGAGGATTCAGTCAAGGACACACACATGCATACAAATTCACATGAATATCTGAAGCTCAGAAGAAGACATCTGTTCAATAAATAAAATAAAATTATTTTATTCCAAGTTAAAACATCATTGTCAAGTCAAAAAACCTGACAATTCAAATGCAAAACTGATTTCTCTGAGTTCAGAAGAGTCCAGCACTAAAGTGAAACTGTTGAAAGGGGTCTGAGAGACCCAGGTATTCACTGTTTTTGATCTTATAAGAGCAGCAGGTTATAAATTCTCATACGCACGAAGGACTGGTTTGGTCTGAAAACTTATTAATGCAAAAACATTAGTGTGAAACTACTCAAATAAGTTAAATTCTTCTGGCTGTAAGTAAACTGGAAAACGGTGTAAAGTGTATCAATCTCACAGAAAAATTCTAGCAAATTCTTGGTATAAGCATGCTCTTATGCCCATTACACAGGGTCTTCTATAAAATTCCTAGTGACCTGTATTGATATTCTGTAGGAGATAAGCAGAAACAATAATTCCATGCTCAATATACCTGATCTACACTTTCAAGTATTAATTGTAACTCAGTCTTGACTGGCATAAGAGCACTAAATGCCAGTGATGGCTTTGTATTTAAAAGTTGTAAACAGTAAACTGTTAGGTGATCATATTCACCTGCAAGCTACTCCCAGGGATCAGCACTCTGGGCCCATTTTTCTGACATGTCTTGGGATGTATACTGTACCTTGCCCAGCTTTAAATGTTTCTTCACTTCCTCAATGACATCCTTAACATGACTCAAAGGAATTGATGGAGAATTACTGGCACCCTGGGAAACCCACCATACCTAAAAGGATGGCCTGACAATAAAATCCATGTGGAACACAGCATTACTCGCAGCAGACACAGGATGAGTATGTACCTACTCCATTTAAGTAGAGTCCTTCTACGAAGGAAGTCCAAATTCAGATTTGGTGAAAGTTATAGCTCAACCTGCTCTATTGGATTCTGGCAATATCTTAACTCTTACGGTTCCTGCCGAGGGAGCTAACAGAAACTCAGTGGGGAAGGGGAAGGGCCCTGGGATTGATTACAGACAAAGTTAGACATCTGAGATGTTGAGGAAAGAAGGCTCACTCATCTCACAGATACTCCAACCATGGTGGCTCAGGCCTGAACTTGGGTCTCAAGGCAAACAAATGAGGAGTCAGGATGAATAGTGAGGGGCACTGACTATAGAGGCCTGAAGGGCTTATATACAGGCCTAACATGAGGGCCCCTGTAGGGGTCTCAGACTGCTCTTAAGTTTTGAGGTAGCCATGTAAGTTATCTCATTTTCCAGGAGGTATGAATGGATTTCAACATTTCTTCCTTCTTTTCTTCCCAAGTCCCACCTGTTCCTTCAAAACTCAGAGCAACAAATGAGTTGAAAAGCACAGAAAATAAATGGTCTTAATACTATTTCCTCCATCCAAATCCTTCTTGGGTTCATGTAAAAAGCCTGAAAAACTGTACTTAAGTCCTTAGGACCTTTTGGGAATCTGATTCCCAAAGTGTAACTGGGAGAAAAGTATAACCAGGATATGAGACTCATGTTTCAGATTAAACCAACTGAAAAACCACCTTATTTAATAATATACAACTGAACTAGAAGATCTTTACATTCAAAGCCACAGGGCTGAAGTAGTCTGGGTCCTAAAAATACCACACATAGAAGAGCTGCTTGCCAATAAGGGAAACCCATTCTAGATTCTTAAGAAATAAGAAATAAAATCTTATTTTGTTTCAGACAGTATACATTTTGGTGTCTATTTGTTATAGCAGTTGAGCCTATCCTATTTAATATATCCTTGAAAGGCTGAACCACATTCAGAAATACCAGATACAGCAGAAGAGGTCAAAACTAGTCATTAATTAATTAATTAAGTGAATGGCTTCCTACCAAACACTGAAGTATCCAGTCTTCTACACTGGTCAGTCACAGAAAATGCAACAAAAGCTTAAAACTCACCTAAATGAGGACCCTGAAAATCTCCTCACAGGGGCAACCAAGAGGCTAAGAGGAATGACTTACAGATGGGGACAGATGGGTCCATTTCCCCTCAGTGAAACAGCCCAGTAAGAAAACTGTACAGTGAAGCCCACATTTGATAGCCCCACTCATACTCAATGAGCTTTCAAAAAAATTTTTTTTTGTCACTCCCAAATGTGAGCTGATAGCTAAGGGTCACAAATGCAAAAAATATTTGAGGAAAAACACCAGTATCAAGGAAGGAAAGAAATTAAATGATAGAAAACATTAATAAAACTTAAAAGAAACAGAAATGATGCATAAAGAAGAGCTAAAACAGTAACTAAAACACCTGTAATGAATGTCCTCAGAGACAGAAATATTGAACCCATGAAACAAAAAGAGGATATTGTTTTAGGAAAAAGAGAGATAAAAACTACTCTGGAGAAGGGATAAAAAAAGAGCTCACAATGTCTAAAATTCAACACATGAATTAGAAGATAAAATTGTAGTCCTTTACCCCAAATAACCTAGACTAAAATTGTCATGTAAAAAAGTAAAAAGAGAAAATTAGAAAATCAAGTGGAGGCAGAATATCTGAATAACAAAAGTTGCAGAAATTGATGAGAAGGTAAAAATATCCAAGAAACACAAAAATTTTTCAGGACTGAAGAGTATTGAGATTATACTGAGTGAGGAATATGGGTGAAAAAATACTCCAAGGCACGTAACTGTGAAATTTCAGAACATTACAGGCAAAGAGAAAAATATAAAAGTTTCCAAAGAGACAGAGAAACAAGTCACATACAAGGATGCAGGAATCTAAACGCCATGAATTTCTTCCTAGAAGCTGTAATACAAGAGAACTGCCTTTGAAAATATAAGGGAAAATTATTTCCAATGTATAATTTTATACCCAACCAACATATAAATCAAGAGGTTTGGTAGAATAAAACATTTTTAGAGATGCAAGTCTCAAAAGTTTAATTCCCATGTACCCTTTCCTAAAATTAGGAGTGAAAAAACACAACAACAACAACAACAAAACCTGGCAACAAGAAGTCCAACACAAGGCAAATGAGACCCCCTCCCCCCCAGGATATCACTAAAAGGAGATCCCAGAGTAACTACCATGCTTTCTTAGAGAACAACTAGTGCACACTGGCACAAGAGAAGAAAGGAATCCCAAAAGATAACTCCAGAAGCAGAAACTAATATGCTGGTTAGCAGGTTTAATCATATTGAGAGGAAATTTAATTTTTGGCAAAGAATTGGGGGTACAATGAAAATAACAGAAACAAATGAAAAAGAGAAATGTAGGAGTCACCCTCCTCCTGGTTAAGATCATAGGTGTAAGCCACATAGCAGTGGCTTCAACTAATTTCTCATGTAAAACGGAAGTCCAGAGACAGGCTGCCCAGGGCTCCTAGCATGGTGGTCCACGGTGTCAGAACCTAGGCCGCTTCTCTTGTTCTGCCACCTTCAGCAGGTGGCTTCTACTTCATAGTCCAAGAACTCAAGACACATCCACGTTCCGGCAAGCAGAAATAAGAAAGAGAGGGAAACGACCCCTCTAACAACACTTAGAGATCACTTAGAGTAAACGCAGTAACACATCCCACTGGCCAGGACTTAGTCACATGGCTGCACCTAGATGCATGGGTTCTATTGCTAATTTTTTTAAAGGGATGGGGAAGAATGGCTACTGGGAAATAGCTAGGAGTCTCTGCTACCTCCCTCCAGCACTTTCTATTCTCCATATTCTACACTGTTTTACCTCGTAGTATTTATTAATCGCTGATAGATTTTCCCTTCATATGTTTATCTGTTTTCCCTAACCTGGAAGTTCCAAGAGGACAGAACCTCTTTTGTTCACATCTGTACTCCAGTTTTTAGAAAAGTGCCTAAGCATAGAAGGAATTTAGTAAATAAGGGTTAAATGAAGACATGAATTATTAATTCTGGAGTAGGGCGAAGTCTCAGAAAATAAACTTAAACATAAAGATCCCGTCCAGGTACGTATAATGTTTTTTTTTGTCTTGCTCAGTTAGCAATGGATGCCTATCAGCTGGAAAATACTGACTCACCCCACCCTGCTGAAAACACTAACTTTAAAAAAAAAACCTCCCTTCCTCTGAACAGGTGATTCAAAAGTCTTTACACAAGGCACAACCAACACAACTACAGAAGACAGCCCTGTAATAATTCCCTAGTCATAATAGTATAAGGAATATTACTTTAGTGTGGGCAATAATGTAACCAATGTATGTGTAACTGTTTAATTTGTCCTGTGTGTAGTTATGTAATATGTAATAATGTAATTAGTAATAAAAAGGTAAACATCAATATAATTAAATTAATATAGTGACAATTAACCCTTCTTAATATAAGCACTATCAGATAGGGGAAAGGAAGTGCATTTGGGGGGAGTGGTATGTAAAAGACCTAAATCCTCATTCTCCAAGCAACAGATACTGTCTGTGACTGAAAATATCAAGAAACACCATAAAATACATATAATCTAGAAAAAGGAAAACAAGCATTAGAAGAAACAGCTAAAAATGTTGAAAACAGCTACTCTGGGGACCGATATCAGGAATAAGAAGAACAAGATCAAAAGTCTGCTGTTTTGCTTTTAAGGCTTACAAACTATCTGATTTCAAAACATGTATGTTTAATTTGAATTTCCAAATCTAGTTCGGTGTCCTCACTCCTCTGAGCTCCTGAAATACAATCTATATCATTAGGAGCCTAAGAATGACTTAATGAACAAGATGAAGGATCACTTTAGCTACACGTGAGCGACCCCGACTGAAAACTAACCCGGGAAAACACGTCCACGATTTAAATGCAAAGCATGACACGCGCCCATCCACACTCGCTTTCTACACACGAACCATGTAAGAATTGTACGCAGGTGCGCGTGGAGAGGAGGGGACGGGCCCAGAGAGGCGGGACAGGAACGACCTCAGCGTTCAGCCACTTCTAATGTGACTTCTGACGTTTGGGGGTAAGAACGTTTGGGGAAACAAAGGGGACGCAAAAGTCACAGCTGACACTAACCGAGCCTAGGGCTGAGCTCTCGCGAACCCTAGCGGCCGGGGCCGTCGCGCCGCGCCCCC